TGTAAAATACGGTTTAAGCCTCTCAAGCTAACGAGCTAGTTCTAACGACGACCGTACTTAGGCTACGTATCCATGTGGTCGAATAAGGCGTTATTTCCCAACAAATGTTTTAGTTATATAAACCCAAGTTGTTTCTTTATTCTATTTTATCAATTTAATCTTTATTCGCAATATGACATCATTATCTATTTAGCAAACAAATTATTTCGGAGCTACAAAAATTACAGTGAGTACCTAATATTGCTAGGAGCCCACTGTAAAAATTTCAGATCCAACACTATTACCAATTTATCACAACAATTCCTACAAGTTTATATTTTTACAATATTAAGTACCTTAAATTAACTATATGGCTTTCAAGAATATTATCAAACTATGTGAACAAAATATACTAACTGGTAGATCATGATTTTAAGAGACTAACAAAATTGGTTTTATAATTTTGGATTCATATACCATTTTATATTGATTTTACAAGTTAAACTAAAACCTATTTTAGAAAAGCATTTTGAAAATGAAAAGGGTCGTTGCCACTAACTGGTTTTGGGCAAAGGTGTCCAGCGGCTTGGCACAAGGCTGGCCTGCGCGTTGAACGGGCGCGAGCTGCCTAGGCGGCTGGGACAAAGGCGTGCGGTGCGCACGGCCCATCAAATTAACTTCTATTCCAAAGGCGACGGAGCGGGCCAAAGCGGCATGAAAGAAGCCACCACGCACGGACGAAGGCCTTGGCCCACACGGCCGAGGCCAAGCAATGGCGGAACCTTTTTACGATGAAACCCGCGAGCTCTCCTCAAATTAATCTGCGGTACAAGGTCACTATTCCTAAGAGTCACTTATTTGCAATAAGAACCTCAGATTAACTTCTATTCGCACTTTCTCACCTTTTCCCTTCCTCAAGAGCAGAGAGCACGGCAGGAAGACCATCCGCCGCCTAAAGGCAGCTCACGGCGGCGTGTTGTTAAGTAGGCGGCTGCTGGGGCAACGGGCGGACCGGCCATGTACTGCTGGCGCAGCGGCATGGCCAGTGGTGGCCCACGACACCTAGTTATCAAGACGTATTGCAGCGGGCGACGGCGCGGGCGCGACGGCATGATTGGTAGGCGGAGTCGCTGCTGCTCCGGTGAACGGGAGGCGAAGACGGTGATGATGCTGCGAGCGCGGCAGCAGGAGGGGAGCGGCGTGGCAACACACGGCGGTGCTCAGCGCCTTGAAGGCGCGTGACCTCGCGGATGTACAATGTGGCAACGCCTTGGCCGGCAGACACAGCCATGGCGGGGCGCATTGGAGGGCGTGAATCGCGGCTCCAGAACAAGGAGGAAGGAGGCGGCTCGACGAGGCGTCGACGCCGGCTAGGTCATGGTCGCGGGCGGGTACTCGCGCAAGGTAGCGGGAAGGAGAAAGGAGGGGGCGGCGCTTTGGCACGGATGCGTTGCGCGTACGGTGGCGGGGACTCGGGCGGACATCGCCATAGGCTGCTATTCCAGCGCGGCCATGGAGGCACGCGCGTGCGAGGGGAAACCGAGCAACGGGCGGCGTGGGGAGACGCCCGGCCACGACCGGACTTGCCTGGCCATAGCGCGGACCGAAGCAGAGGAGGCGCCGTGGGGCAGGGCAGCGGGTCCAGCGCAAACCGGGGCTCGGTGGGGCGGCTGGCTGGCGAGGGTAGGGAAGGGGAAGGTGGTGACCGACGCGTTATGGAGCAGCGGAGACAGCACTGAGGCTTGCGAGCACGGTGGCCGCCCGCTGAGGGTGCTCGTCCTGGCGGGTGCTGCGGTAAAGAAAAAGAAAGAGGCAAGGGGACAGAGCGAGCAGTGGCTCTACACAGACCGACAAGACAAGTAAGGGCAGACAGAGGCAGAGACAGACAGTGATGTTGATGGTGAACGCACGGGCAGCGCACGGATAAAGCCGAGGTAGACAGAGACAAGCCATGGCAGGCAAGCGGAGGCAGCAGAGGCAGGATGACAAGGGTATTAGTTCGACGGGACAACGGAGGCAGTGGTTACTCGGCGGTGCACGGCAGAGAGAGGACACGGCGCAAACGAAGGAGAGAGAGACAATGGCGCAGGCAAACCGACGCGCCGGGGTGCAGAGCCACGACAGGAGACGAGACGGTGAATAATTGCCATGCAACGAGTACGCTGTACGCCAGGAAAAATAATGAAGCTGCTGCGCGCTCTCTCTCGTCAGTTCGTGCTTATCAAAATAAACCCGTGAGTATATATATATATATCGTTCTATTTATTAATGTATTTTATTTTATTTATAAAAGTTGCTTTTCCCGCTTAATCTAATAAAACAAACAAACCGTTCGATATCTATTAGCTAGAATTGTCGTTCAATATTCCTACATATCTTTACGCACGGAGAAATTTAACTTGGCGTTGATTCGAGTCCATAAAATTGAGTCACGGGATTCACTCATCGCATCACTACGTTTTAAATAAGAAATCCGAGAAACTCGTTTCGAAAATTTTACTTAGGCCCCAAGCACCTGAGACCCGATCTAAGTATGGTGCTTAGACCTCCACCTAATACTCACCCCTAAAAGTCGGTCCGGAAAGAGCCGGAACCCATGACAAGAGAGTAACAAGTCTTTCTGTTCCCATAAATAAGCATGCACTCAGGATAATAAGTCCGTAACCTGACTACCATCCACAGCACCTCACTGTAGCTAGGAGGTTTATATCCATGTCCATACTGTCCAATGGCCTCACACATAATCTCAAACCTCCATACTGTGCTATAATATTCTTGCAGATAAGGGAATGGTACAATGTTTCACTTTCTTTAGACTAATTCAATTGTTGGAGAAAATATGGTTCAGATAAATTTAATTCAGTCTGAATAGTAAGTTCTAAACAAGTGTATAAAAATTCTGCACACTCCTATGCACTAAGAGGAAATTAGTGCAATCTGAAAACTAAACTTCTATGCACCTCTCCAGGATATTTGACAACAAATCCGACCTTAGGTGTCATCTAGTAACTCTAATCCATGTACCTAAATAAAGATCAGAATTTTTTAGAAACTATCTTTTATTCACTGTATCTAGGCACTTGAGCACGATATTGGCGCAAACCAGATTTTAGTTTTCAAGTTCATTCTCGTCCTTTGATTTTGTGTTTTTTGGTGACCTGCTTATAATGTTTTTTTATTGTGCAGGTTAGTTCTCAGCCGGTGCAAGGACACCGAGGCAAAAGGTATCGACTCCCAGCTGAGTGACATGGGTCACTTTTCAAGGAGGGGCTTGGCTAAGATCTTTGTTGTTTTTACCCTTTTTACTTTTACGTCCCAGGGTGTTAGCGAGTTCGGTGTGCGTTTTGGACAGCTCTCAGATGTCATGGTTTCACTTAACAACAAGTGGGGGTTGCAAGAGGGGGAGGAGGCGGAGGGGTGGATAGAATTGGTCAGCATCATCGGTGAAGATAGAGCTGTTTTTTTTCAAGTAACAAAACCTTTTCTATGAGCTACCACGTGCACATGCTGGCTATGCATGAAAGATGATACATCTGTTATTACGAGGCTACTTCATGGTAAACGAGATATCTGAATGGATACATGCATGCAGAATAGCTGTTGTGGTTTGTATAGTTCCTTGATTTGGATTTAGCAGCTACTATTTTAGATCATTAAGTGCTGATTGCTAGCTTTCACGGCTGTGCTGTGGCCGTGGGCTTGTATTTTATGCCTGGCCTGCAGTGGCCATATCTGGCAAAATAGTAGCTGAACAGAGAGTCTTGCCAGACGTGTCACGTTCATCAGAATTTCAGTTGTGCATGCTTGCGTGCTCTTCCAATTCCATGCAGAGACGGACTGTTTAGTGGCACGAAAGGTTTGATAGTGACAGGACCTCCCGGTGCAAGTTGCAACGATGTCCATGCTCGTGGTTCGCTCAGAGTCTCCGGTGGGGTTAATCCGTTTGTTTGAGACTCGGGAGATCGCCTCCTCCTTCGTCGGTTCAAACACGGTGGGCCCCGCTCCCGGCATCCAGTCCAATGCAACCACCGGATGAGGTGGGTCCACTGGCCAGACGTGTCACAGTCAGTCAGGATCCAGAGCAAGTGGTGAGTTCGTACCAGAACCAGGCCTCGTTTAGATCCATCAAAATTCCAAGTTTTTTTACTCTCTCTCCATCACATCAATTTTTGACACATGTATAGAACATTAAATGTAGGTAAAAAAAATAATTAATTACACAGTTTGGTTGTAAATCACGAGACGAATCTTTTGAGCCTAGTTAGTCTATGATCGGACAAAGTTTGTCAAATACAAACGAAACATGCTACAGTATCCGGATTACAAAAATTTACGATCTAAACAGGGCCCCAGCAACAAAAACACACAATCATCGTCTCGTCTGTCTCATCTGACCGACCATTTTTTCCAAGTTGCGTGACAGCGCGAGCGTGTGATAACAAGTCTTCTTTAGTGACAAGAAGATAGATCACATCAGGATGCTGTTTAAATTCAGAGGCTAAAATTTAGAAGTGAGAGTGTTTAGATAGTAATAATAATAAAACAAATTATAGAAGTTCTCAGAAATCCACGAGACGAATTTATTAAACCTAATTAATCAATCACTAGCACATGTTTACTCTGTAACACAACATTGTCAAATCATAGATTAATTAGTCTTAAAAAATACGTCTCGCAAAGTAGTCGCAATCTATGCAATTAGTTATTTTTTAGTCTATGGCTGGGTTCGGCTGGTCAAAAAAAAAAAAAGTACTGTGCACGCCTGAAAACACTGTTCACGGATGGTTCCTCACATAAATTCTTCCAGATTCATCCAGATTTCTCCAAATTCCTCCAAGCGAACAGGGCCTATATTTAATACTCCATGCATGTGTGCAAACATCCGATGTGATAGAAACTAAAATTTAGGAGGAGAAACTAAATAAGGACTAGATTATAATCAAGTTGTGGCTTCTTCAAAATTTGCCCCCAAGTTAATTACAGCCTACATGATGTTCATGGAACAAAGCGAAGGAAAACGATCAAGCACCAACTTCACGGTTTAAATAGTCGACAAACATCCTCTTTGCGCTATCAGCATCTGTCGGTGGTGGTGGCCCACTCAGACTGTACTGCCCTGCCAGCTTGATGAAAGTTCGTCGCAGGCTTCGGAGCTCTGGCAGGCCAACATATCTCTGAAGGTTGATGTAGCAATCAGTTAAGAATCCCAACTGCATCAGAAGAAGAACCAAGCATACTATGCGCATGTAGAAAAGGCAGAAGAGGCAAATCCTTCAAGTTTTATAATTTATACATCTAAAGTTATGGAACTAATTATAGATTAACCATGTGGAGAACAAATAACAAAGTTATATATCAAAATTCAAAAAAATAACCTATATTGACTCACTGTAAATTCACTTAATAAAGAAAACGACAAGAATACTTAAAGGATATAGTTGGCAAGTTAGGTCCAAAAGATATCTTATTCACAGCAAGCCCAAGAACGCATGATTGTGCTTCAACAATTGCATTGACCACCTCCTGCAAAGTGCAGCTCGTTACCAAGGCTTGTAGATTTACAGAACCACACATTTCCAAAGACAACTACAAACTAAAACAACTAGCATTACCTGTGTTGCTTTGTCCATCTCATAGAGGGAATTAGCCTCTGTTGTTCGCACCTGAAATATCAAGACATCATTACAACCCTAGAATAGACACCAAAGATTCAGGAAGACAATTATAACTGCCTTCTAGAACACACATAAGTCAATTTGGAAAAGCATTCTATATTCTTGAGCAGCTGCCAGTTTTTTCTTTCTTGTATTATTCCAGTTTTCATATGGCAGTTGCAATAATCTTGTTATTTATTTCAACTTCAATTTTCCAACAACAAATTTATACTTACCGTCTGAGTGGCTATTGTAGGCTGGAGAACTTTTACGTCTCTTGTTTTGGAATCTACTTTCTTTGTCAAATATGACACAGCCTCACCAATAACAGGAGCCGTTTCCACTATTTCATCTATTAAAAACATTGGAGAAAACAGATTAGTCAGATCAAATTATTTGCCAAACCCAATGCAGGACATATGCGGTGATGCATTGTCCTGTGCTGAACATGTTCTAACACTAATGCACAGAAGCAGTTTATCAAAAGTCCAACGCTCTGTTAGGCAGATCAGCTTACTGAGTATCTACTATCTAGCACAATTGTTGATCCTTCCCTTTTTTTTTTTCTCATGAAAGTACCTTCAGATACGACTATCATATATTTCTCTTAATTGGGATGCAACAACCAATCAACCATCTTTTGCAACATAGTTTACAAACAAAAGGCTAACCAAACACCACAATTTTCAAAAACAGTATACAGCTAATCATAATCCTCCACAATAACAAATGGATCCATACAATTTTCTTTCTGTTTTCTTTGGCCTGTAATGGAGTTATATAGTTTTGAAAGCCAGAACACATATAGTTCAAATCTGCTGGGGTGGTAGCTTCTCCTAAGGTAGGATTTGGATAATGCATTTGATAAGGTTGGAAGAGATGGAAAATGAGGTAGTTAAAATACTGGAATATAAGATTTTGGTACCCTTGCCAAATTTGGAAAAGTTGGCCTTGGGACAATGGTTAAGTTGCCGTGACCAAAATTGCAGGTAAGCACCCATCCTATTTTTAGATAAAGACCCCACAGAACGAATAAACAGCAAGGCCAATAGCAATTAAGCCAATCACTTGCAAAGGTGCAGCAAATGTCTCAATGGGACAGCAGGACAGCCATGGCCGCTGGCTTGAGAGAAGCCATGGGATCAGGCTCAAGGACAATTTCCGAAGGGGCTCTGATCTGGATGAGGACAAAAGGGGTACCAGTGGTAAAGGATGGCAAGGGCACTGGCTCACTAGTAGAGAGAACCAGTCCCATCAATAATAATTAGTTAGGGGGCTCACAAAACTTCAATGGCCATGAAACAATGGTAAGAAGGGAAAATGTCCTCATCCTAACACATGGGAATCGACCATGCCCATTCTAAGACCTCATTCTCTTCCCAATCCCTCAATTCACCAAGCATCCATTAGACACAATCCAAATGTCACCTGATAAGTTACCTTGTGCAATCAGCCGGTCAATCAAAATGCACAGAAAGGACAAAGGTAACAAGAAACCAATAATTGTCTATACTGCTAGTCAGTTTCCAACCACATGGTACAGCCATACATGTTTGCTATTTGCTAGTCCTGAAGGCTGTAGTGTCTTTCATCACTACTAACATAAGTAGTAATGGTTATGTTGTAATGGAACTTATGATGCTCTGAACCAACTTTAGAATACATGAAAATGGGAACAGTCAAGAAACGTATTATCAAGGAGCAAACTATTGCATAGTTAAGGCTCAAAAACAGGGCAGTGAAGCGGCTATAAAATTTGAGGGCATATGCAAATCTAGAAAAGGATTTCTGAAAAATTAACAGCAGACAATGGGGATAACTCATACAAGATCATGTGAAGAAATTACAAATAACAATAATAAAAGAAGCAAGTCTGTTTACCTCTAGATGGAAACAATTCGAAAAGAGGGGAATCCCAACGATTACGCCTATCTGGCTTCTCAAATCTGCTTACAAGATCTTCAAATCTGTCACCATTGAAGAAAAAGCCAATGAGAGGGCAATTGTAACTGATAGTAGACAGAGCAGTGCTTGGATAGAAATGCACGGGTGTGTTATTATTCCAACAACCCCAAAATTCCATACAGTAACTGGACTACTAAAGATTTATAACCTATGAAATACAAGTTCGTTTGAAATAAGAATGCCAACAGCATATGACCCCATTAGTGTTTCAGGTCAATGATCTCCATACAGATTAGATGTGACTTACATATTACTATCATATGCTGGCTCTCCTTTCTCCTGGCGGTTGTTGTTCCATTCCCTACAATGGTCCACTTCTGTATCACAAAAAAGCTGAAACATAAAAGAAGAAGTATAAAAGAAATCACTTTCTAATGCATGATTTACTGTTCTCAATTGTTCAAAGCACAATAAAGTTTCCATTCTTTCCTAGAGGTGCTCTTGGACAAAAGGATCATGCAGGACATAGTCATGAGTTCCAATTTGTCCTATTTGTTGAATTAAAAGAACTTTTGTAACTTTGTTTAGGTGAGGCTCTATCTTGTAAGTTTACTTAGGTAATCCTTCGATAAATACCAAGACCAGCCTGAAAAGGTAGCTCATCATGCAAACAATATTACCATCTGATTCGCGATGTTAATTAAATCCATACTTTCAGAACATGTAATGTCATTGACAACTCCAGTTTGTTTGTATTATGCTAGCAAAGCCATCATTGTAAGTACATAGTAAGTACATAAACAAGAGAACAAGTGCCTACCACACAATATCTTACTCCAGATGCACGCGCAAGACACCACAACTCATACCGGTACCCCTGCATATTATCAAGTGAAAGTCAATTAATTGTATCCCAAGGCAAAGACACAGGTTTGCAATAATATTGCAAGACCATTATGCATTTGAGGCATCATAACTGTAAAATGATGTAAGGCAAACTGCAGAATCTATTTTATATCACAACTAATGTGAGAGTTTATACAGAACAGTACATCTGTAGCAATAACAAGAGCAGCACACAGTTGCAACTATGAGTGTCAAATCACTGGTTCAATAAAAGTTAGCCAATAAAGATAGGAAGAAGCAACACTTCAAAGGTCTGGGAAGCTTTTATGTCTTCTGGACCCCGGTCATCACAGTGATGAGGAGTAAAACTAAAGATAGACTGACAGAAAAAGAGCAGCATCCTATTATTGATCGAGAACCGTCACTCAATGCAAAGGTCTGGGAAACTTTTATTTCTTCTGCAACCCCGATCATCACAGCGATACGGAGTAAAACTAAAAGATAAGACTGACAGAAAAAAGAGCAGCATTCTATTATTGATCAAGAACCATCACTCAGTGCAAGTTTGAAAAAAGAAGAAGAAGGATGAATAACTTGATACTACCCTCACCTTAATATTATTCAACGAGTCGATGATAATTATGCTGTCGCGTGACACGGACCTGTCAACTTCTGATCTAAGAACTCCTCTCAAGTTTTTCTCCACAACCATATCTAAGAAGGGAACAACCAAAAACAATGAGAAAGAAACAAGCTCATCACAGGGTCAAAACAGAAGTACATAACTAGCTAACTAAGACATGTAAAATAACCAATACCTTTGTAACTATCGTTGCGCCCGAGATGGAGGGATGACTCATCAATGATACGGACAGTAAGGTCAGGTGTGGAGGAGTGCAGTGCCGCAGCAAGGCAAGCAGCGGCTGCTGATTTGCCGCTGCATGGCTGCCCACACATCACAACGAGTGCCATGGAAGACGTGGAAACCTTCAGAGATAAAGGGTGGAAAACCATTCAGTCATACAAAAACGTTGCCACACAGTAGATGCTCAGTATCCTACATGAGGACCTAAGGAGCAGCAGAAAAGTGATGAAATTCATGATCTTGATGTAACACTAAGGGCATGTTTGGATACACATAGCTAGTTACTGGTTGGGATAAAAATTAGCCCAGATTAGTTATGATTGGCTAGCTAGTTGGCTAACAACTAGTTAGAGACGGCTAAAAAATTAGCCCACCTATTAGCTCTCTTGTTTGGATGCACTAGAGCTAATTTTTAGCTAGCTAGCAATTAGCTCATGTATCCAAACATGCCCTAAATCATAGAAACAACCTTGTTATGTACGGCGATGTTCAAGGTTGTAAGTGATTGATTACCCACAGTCAACAAAGACACAAAGTGTTACTGAAGAGGAACTAGGGGGCAAACTGCTTTACAACCTCAAAAGACGAGCCTCACTAAGCCGAACCTCACAGGCCAGGCCTCTAGTAGGGTCCATAACAATTTGGGAATCCACTAGAGCTTTAGGCATAAAAAACCACCGCAATCAATCTCAGTGATAACTCTAGCAGGGTATCGAACCTACGGCAGCGCCGCGCAGCCTGGGCACAAAGGATACAATTAACCGGATGAAGCGAGGGGAGGGAACACGCCGGCGGTGAGCGCGGCGCAGCTCCGGCAAGCGGATCAGCGAACCACGTCCGTGCGCCATGGGAATCCGCAGGTGGAGGGGAGGTACGCGCCCAAAACGGAGTGAAATCGGCCTGAGGGGGAGGGGAAGGGATCGCGCATCGACTCAACTGGACCTGGAGCGGAGCGAGCTCGCCGGAGGGGATCCACGGAAGGGAGCGCCGGCGCGGCGGAGGAGAGCGAGAGCTGAGAGCGGCGGGGCGGCGCGCGAGTGGAGACTGGAGAAAGGAGACGTGCAGAACCCGGTGGGGTCGGAGTCGGACTGACGCGTGGGCCGTTGTACCTAATCGGGCAGGCCGGGCCGGGCCGGGCCGGGCAAGGCCTGGGAATTATGGTGGAATCGGCCATTTTCGACCGGGCTTTGATGTACATCCCCAAGGTCCAAACCAAACAAAAAAAAAAACACCCACGGGATCTGTAAGGCCAGGATGGCTATATCGGCTTCTCAGCCCAACTAGCACATTATGTCTTTTTCTTCTGTTTTTTTAATCTCCCGTATCTTTATTTGTTTCTAATAAAAAAACGTATATTGGATCTCTTTTTTACCCATAATGGTAAAATGGAATTTTATTACTGTACGGCAAAGAAATTGCAACGAGTGTTTCGAGTTTTGCACTGTGATTGTGACCATGACTTTTACTTCCCCCACCTTTGAACACAAAAAGGTTCACTAACCTTTAACAGAACGAATTCTCTGTCTTAGAAGGGGTACAAGCCATCCAAATCTCCCATGACTGACCAATCACGCAAGCTGAAACAAATGTCGAGCCATCACATTACTTGCTTGATAATTGCCTTGACACGCTCTCCCGGTCTGTTCTTCTCGTCATTCTATCCTATCGCCACTTCCTGTAGTGGCTTTCTCCATTTGTTGGGTGAGATCCTGGTTTTGAAGGCATGCCCAGTACGTGTTTCAAGAAAGAACAGGTTACACAGATAAATATCAGAATGAGACTTGATCCTTTTCCTTCAAAACATGTCGAATTTCTTATTTCCTAAATTACCCAACACATCGCGGTAAGGCCAACAATGTACACTTGTTTTTCGTAAGGCGGGCTCCATTTTATCTAAATTCAAAAATGTACAAACGGAGAAGGTCTAACAGTGACCCCAATTCATCTTTTTATATTATATTTATATATAATATGCTGCGAGTATAGGTGAGTTAAAATCTCTACTCCTATCCTTATTGTCTCTATATGTTTTTGTTACATGTTTTTCTTAAATAAGGCTATGTTTCGTGCGGCTCCACGAGGTTCTGGCTCTGAGCCAGAGGAGCCACCAAAGTACATCTTCTGTAGCTCCTCTATTGAGTCTGCCAAAGTCGGAGCCCGGAGCCCTTTTTCAACCGGCATAGTGATTCAACAGTAATGTACAGGAGACAGGGAGTCGACAGAGCAAAGTGACTTCATAGATGAAGGGTGAAAAGACATGAAGCCTATTTTTTATTCAAATAGCTCTATACGAGAAACACATAAAAAATATCGATATTTATGATATGATACAAATACTATTATATTAACTACGAAATGTATTTTTCTAATAAATTGATTTGAAGTCATAAATATAAAAATTATTGACTAAAAACTTAGTACACGAACCACGCTAACTGTCACGTAACTTATAATTATATATATATGTTTTTGACAGAGGCAATACTACTGTACTCGTATAGAGAAAAGCTCATCCGCACCTCAATCAACAAAAAAAAAAAAAAAAAACGAGAGCCGGACTGGGCCCACGGTGACGGCACCCGTCGGCCGCAGATTCGCCCGAGAATCCAGCCAAGTATCCAGCCATACCGCGACTGCTCCGCTCTGCTCCTCCCCGCCGGCAGCGTCAGCGACGACTTCTCCTCCTCCCCTTCTGCCCCGCTCGCTTTATCACCCTTCTCCTGCCCGCGACGGGGAGGCTACCGTTCCGATCCCCACCCCCTCCGCGCCGTCGACCTCAGAAGAGGAGGGGCAAACATGAGGCTGCTGCCGAGGGAGTCGGACAAGCTGGCGCTGCACAACGCCGGCTTCCTCGCGCAGAAGCGCCTCGCCCGGGGCCTCCGCCTCAACTACACCGAGGCCGTCGCGCTCATCGCCGCGCAGGTCAGTCAGTCCCCCTCCCTGCTCCCCGGTCAGGACGCCGCCGCCCCTCCCACCTCTGCTAGACTGCTAGTCAAAACGGGATACAGTGTGTGTGTGTTTCGCTGCGCATGCCCGCCCGCAAAGTCAACGCGGAAGTGGAACTGGCGCAGCTGATCAGTGCGGCCGTTTTGTTTCTGCCTGGATCCGACATTCCGCGCCTTCTCTTGGGTGGAATGGCAGTGCGCTCGTGCCGTCCTGCTGCGTGCATAGTGATAGTGGGACGGATTTATCCTGATTTTATTGGAAGTAGCATGAGGGAGAGGGGCAAGTACTTGTCCCAGAAAGCAGCGCAGAGACGTTCCCCTTTTATATCCTAATAATAATCATAGATGTAGTATGTAGTGGATGTTCAGATTCTGGTATTTATCAAACGGCAGTTACCTTTCCTGGAGAAGCCATTCAAAGGGGAATGGCTCCCAGATGAAAGGGAAGATGCTAACTGCATTTGGCCTCCTCTGCAAGGTGTTCCTGATTTTGCTGGCCTGGAGGCAACTTTGTTTTATTTGCATATTTGGTCTGGTTGGCACAGCTGAATTAAGTCTGTCTCTCTCCCTGAATGACATAGATTCTTGAGCTTATTCGCGATGGAGACAAAACCGTGACAGACCTCATGGACTTGGGGAAACAGCTCTTGGGCAGGTGGGTTTACCTTTTAGTGAATTCCTTGCTACGTTTCCTGCATCATTACATTTATCCATAATGTGTGTACCATCAAAACTTGGCATTGCTTCACTCATCAGACGATAATGGGAGACTTTATCCTCAATTGCTTTCAAATTACTTTTACCGGCTGTCAAAATTTTTGACAGTACCTCACTTCTCAAATGAAGGGCGGGCCTGGTGCAAGCGGTAGAGTCTTACCGCCTGTGACCGGAAGGTCCCGGGTTCGAGTCGCGGTCTCCTCGCATTGCACAGGCGAGGGTAAGGCTTGCCACTGACACCCTTCCCCAGACCCCGCACAGAGCGGGAGCTCTCTGCACTGGGTATGCCCACCTCACTTCTCAAATCTCAATGGATAGAGTAAAATGCCTACATGCCTCAAGAATAGCTTCACAGATATGTGCTTGACTGCTTGTTTCCAGTACACAGGTTATTATATGAGAATTTTTTTGGGGGTGGGGGTGGGGGTGGGGGGATGGGGGATGGGATGTAGACTGCCTGGGTTATTTCATACATGCTCACAGCATTGTTTTGAGATGAAATATATTTTAGATATGCCTTTTTATATGTCACAGTCCAGTGGTTACAACTTCATTTCAATGAATGTGTCAGTTGTTGCGCTGATCATCTACCTAAAGGGGAAAAGAAGAACAAACCATTATGTCTTACTGAAATTCATTTATAACTTTTATCCCATGCTTTCTTAGAGTGGGCATCTTGTGTTTCTGACTACTGTCTTCATGTAGTTGTTCACTTGCTGTGATATAATCTGACAGTTTTTTTTTTCTTTTCGTTTGCCTACCAGGAGACAAGTTCTTCCAGCTGTTCCATACCTTTTACATACTGTACAGGTGTTCTTTGCTCATACTATATAATACTTACTATTTCCATCCATATGCATCCAGATTTTATTACTGAAGCATTACATGGGCTCACAGAGTAGTAGGCAACTATGTATATTCTTAGAAAGATTTTTTAAAATATTTGTATCAATTTTCACCATGTGATCTAGGTTGAAGGAACATTTGTGGATGGAACAAAACTAGTTACTGTACATGACCCTATTTCCTTGGATGACGGAAATTTGGAGCTAGCATTGCATGGTTCTTTTCTCCCAGGTCATTGATTCTGATCAGCATAGTTGGTTCAGTTATGTTCATAATTTTTCTGAATTATATGGTTACAGACTTACTTGATTGATGTGGTTATGGAGTCTGTGGAGATCTACCTTTTTCAGAATGCTTTTCGAGGGCAGTTCTGTCCCTGAAAGTCTTTCATGTATTGTGCTATTCAGTAAGAGTTCATTAATGGAGAAAAGTAAATAAAAAAGGGACTGTACACAATATCATTTAAATGTTGCAGTGCCTTCACCTGAAAAGTTTTCCAGCGATGATGTTGAAGAATATCCTGGTGAAATACATTACAGTTCTAGTCGCATAGTTCTAAACCTTCATCGCAGGGCTTTAACTCTGAAGGTTGTTAACAAGGCAGACAGACCCATTCAGGTGAGCATGCCTAAATATTTTTGTTTGGACCTTGGTGCAAACCTGCAATGATTTTCTTTCCTACTTATCCTTTTGCTGTCAAAATGAAAAATGGTAAGTAATTTTTTTTGTTCAATTTCTAAAGAGGAGATAGGTAGGCTTAAACTCACAACAACAACAACAACAACAAAGCATTTAAGTCCCAAATAAGTTGGGATAGACTAGAGTTGAAACCCAGCAGAAGCAATCAAGGTTTAGGCACGTGAATAACTGTTTTCCAAGCACTCCTATCTAAGGCTAAGTCTTTGGGTATATTCCATCCTTTCAAGTCTCCTTTTATTGCCTCTACCCAAGTCAACTTCGGTCTTCCTCTGTCTCTCTTCACGTTACTATCCTGGCTTAGGATTCCACTACGCACCGGTGCCTCTGGAGGTCTCCGTTGGACATGTCCAAACCATCTCAACCGGTGTTGAACAAGCTTTTCTTCAATTGGTGCTACCCCTAATCTATCACGTATATCATTGTTTCGAACTCGATCCCTTCTTGTATGACCGTAAATCCAACGCAACATACGCATTTCCGCGACACTTATCTGTTGAACATGTCGTCTTTTCGTAGGCCAACATTCTGCACCATACAACATAGCAGGTCTAATCGTCGTCCTATAAAACTTGCCTTTTAGCTTCTATGGTACCCTTTTGTCACATAGGACACCAGATACTTGACGCCACTTCATCCATCCTGCTTTGATTCTATGGCTTAAATCTTCATCAATATCCCCGTCTCTTTGTAGCATTGATCCTAAATATCGAAAGATATCCTTCTTAGGCACTACTTGACCTTCCAAACTAATATCTTCCTCCTCCCGAGTAGTAGTACCGAAGTCACATCTCATATACTCAGTTTTAGTTCTATTGAGTCTAAAATCTTTGGACTCCAAAGTCTCCCGCCATAACTCCAGTTTCTGATTCACTCCTATCCGGCTTTCATCAACTAGCACTACATCGTCCGCGAAAAGCATACACCAAGGGATGTCCCCTTGTATGTCCCTTGTGACCTCATCCATCACTTAGGCAAACAGATAAGGGCTCAAAGCTGACCCTTGATGTAGTCCTATCCTAATCGGGAAGTCATCCGTGTCTCCATCACTTGTTCGAACACTAGTCACAACATTGTTGTACATGTCCTTAATGAGCCCGACGTACTTTGTTAGGACTTTATGTTTGTCCAAAGCCCACCACATAACATTCCTTGGTATTTTATCATAAGCCTTCTCCAAGTCAATAAAAATCATGTGTAGGTCCTTCTTCTTTTCCCTATACCGCTCCATAACTTGTCTTATTAAGAAAATAGCTTCCATGGTTGACCTTCCGGGCATGAAACCAAATTGATTCATAGAGACCCGTGTTATTGCACTCAAGCGATGCTCGATAACTCTCTCCCATAGCTTCATAGTATGGCTCATCAATTTAATTCCCCAGTAATTAGTACAACTTTGAATATCCAATTTATTCTTGTAGATAGGTACTAATATACTTCTCCTTCACTCGTCAGGCATCTTGTTCGATCGAAAAATATGGTTGAACAGCTTGGTTAGGCATTCTATAGCTATGTCCCCGAGGCATCTCCACACCTCGATTGGGATACCATTCGGTCCCATCGTCTTACCTCCTTTCATCTTTTTCAACGCCTCTCTGACCTCAGATTCTTGGATTCTCCGCACAAAACGCCTATTGACGTCATTAAAAGAGTCATCTAACTGAAAGGTTGTGTCAGTATTCTCACAATTGAATAATTTGTCAAAATACTCTTGCCATCGATGTCGGATCTCATCCTCCTTCACCAAGAGATGCTCCCTTTCATCCTTAACGCTCTTAATTTGGTTGAAGTCCCTTATCTTTCTCTCACGAACCCTAGCCATCATAAAAATGTCCTTCTCTCCTTCCTTCGTACTCAAATATTGGTAAAGATCCTCGTACGCTCTACCTTTTGCCACACTTACAGCTCGTTTTGCAGTCTTCTTTGCCACCTTGTACTTCTCTATGTTGTCCACACTCCTGTCATGATACAAGCGTCTATAGCATTTTTTCTTCTTCTTAATAGCCCTTTGGACTTTCTCGTTCCACCACCAAGTATCTTTAGCCTCGCCTCCACTTCCTTTGGTTACTCCACACACCTCTGAGGCCGCCTTCCGAATGTTGGTTGCCATCTTCTCCCACATGTTGTTTATGTCCTCTTCTTCCTCCAAGAGTCCTCTTTGATAACCCTTTCCCTGAATACCTCTGACGTCTGCCCTTTCAGTTTCCACCACTTTGTTCTTTCCGATATGGCGCGTCGCTAAGAGGGTTACGCCCCAACGGTTTTCTTTCGGGTTTCATCTCCATTAGAATGGCTAGATTTAACGTTGGCTAACCACGCCTATCACAACCCTCCTCCTTTACCAGGGCTTGGGACCTGCTATGTTGAGACAACATAGGCGGAGTTATAGGTAGGCTTAAACTCATTCTTGAAAATTGAAATTGCATTCCTAATGGTTAAATTCGGTTTTACTCATTCAATGCCATGTTGGCATCCCTTCTGGCTAATGTTTTAACACCCAATACCACTTGTGTCGAGACATGTTTTTGAACTGGCAGACATGTAATAATGTTGTTATATTACTACTAGATTCAGAGAACATTTGCCCTGTTCCACCATGTTAGGTTGAACTTGTATGTGTGTTTCGAACTACGTGCAGGTGATGGTATTTACTGAATGTGACATTATGATCTTAGCATCTATGTCTATTTTAAAAATAAATTTGAAAAATATGATTCTTTTAATAGACGGGGATATTGATGAAGATGTTAGCCATAGAATCAAAGCAGGGTGGATGAAGTGGCGCCAAGCATCTGGTGTCCTATGTGACAAAAGGGTACCACAGAAGCTAAAAGGTAAGTTTTATAGGACGGCGATTAGACCTGCTATGTTGTATGGTGCAGAATGTTGGCCTACGAAAAGACGACATGTTCAACAGATAAGTGTCGCGGAAATGCGTGTGTTGCGTTGGATTTGCGGTCATACAAGAAGGGATCGAGTTCGGAACGATGATATACGTGATAGATTAGGGGTAGCACCAATTGAAGAAAAACTTATCCAACACCGGTTGAGATGGTTTGGACATGTCCAACGAAGACCTCTAGAGGCACCGGTGCGTAGTAGAATCCTAAGCCAGGATAGTAACGTGAAGAGAGGCAGAGGAAGACCGAAGTTGACTTGGGTAGAGGCAATAAAAGGAGACTTGAAAGGATGGAATATACCCAAAGACTTAGCCTTAGATAGGAGTGCTTGGAAAACAGCTATTCACGTGCCTGAACTTTGGTTGCTTTTGCTGGGTTTCAACTCTAGCCTACCCCAACTTGTTTGGGACTTAAAGGCTTTGTTGTTGTTGTTGTAGGATTCTTTTAATATTACTATGAAAGTTTGCAGAAAAAGGAAACATTTTGCTCCATCCATTAGATTGACGTCCCCCTGCCCTTCCCTTTTTTGTTCAAGGAAACGACCCTCTTTCCCTCTTTCATTGAGTCAATAAATGTATTATCTTGGCCTTGTTCAAGTTAAAGTCCTCTTATTACTAAACTTTGTTTCTTGTGATGTTACTTTGATCCAACTAGCATTTTGGATGAATTTAAATACAATGTTTAATAAGTTCGATTTAAATGGCATTACTCCCTCATTTACTATTTATTGAAGGTTTAAGCGTTTTTTTTTAAATTACAATCCTCTTTAACCCTCATGAAAATTTTCAAATATTGTTTGACCTTGCAGATTGGAAGCCATTACCATTTTATAGAGACCAATCCTTACCTGGTTTTTGATAGGAAAAGGGCCTACGGCATGAGGTTGAACATACTTGCTGGAACAGCTGTTCGGTTTGAGGTGCTTTCATTCCATCCATGCTTATAGCAATTTTCAGTTTAAAGATGCTAAGACTATATTCTCATATTTGCCCTCCTACTTGTTTTAATAAATGTACTGCACATACCACTTTGAAACCCTCAAGAATCTGATATCTACATCTTTTTACAGCCAGGGGATGCAAAAAGTGTTACACTTGTAAGCATCGGAGGTCATAAGGTAATCAGAGGTGGAAATGGCATTGCTGATGGTCCTATTGACAGTTCACAGCTTAATGAGGTGATGCAGAAGGTTAATGCAAATAGCTTTGGACATGAAGATTATCCAGATGCAAGGTTGTTCCTTCCTATTTTATTGATAGCAAGTGACAAAATCATTTATTTTCTTTTCTTTGCCTAAATTTATCTTTTAAGTTTGTATGCAGGGAAGGTCTTATTGGTGATGGTCCATTTGACTGTACTGTTGATCGTGAAAAGTATGCGAGCATTTATGGACCTACCACTGGTGATAAGATTAGGCTTGGTGATACCAATCTTTATGCTGAGATTGAAAAGGACTTTGCCTTTTATGGTGATGAGTGCATATTTGGCGGTGGAAAAGTTCTGCGTGATGGCATGGGACAAGCTACAGGGTACCCAGAATCTTCCTGCCTAGATACAGTTATAACCAATGCTGTCATCATTGATTATACCGGAATATACAAGGCTGATATTGGTATAAAAGGCGGACTTATAGTTGCTATTGGAAAGGCTGGAAACCCTGATGTCATGGATGGTGTCCATAGCAACATGATTGTTGGGGTAACTAACTATTTCCTGAACATTCCGTATTAATTTGCTAAAGAGAAGAGATAAAATTTCATGAAATTTCAGGTCAATACTGAAGTTATTGCATCTGAAGGCATGATTGTAACTGCTGGTGGCATAGATTCCCATGTTCACTTCATATGTCCTCAGTTGGCAGAAGAGGCAATTGCAAGCGGTTAGGATCCTTGACTTCTACTATATATTAGGGGCAACCAAATACACTTTTTAAGTTCGATTATCATGGCAACTTCATCATTTTACAAACAAAGAGTATCAACACTGGCATAAATCATTCTGGCAGAGCTTGGGTTGCTTGTAAATACTTGATGTTTACTTAAGTTTCAAATAGGATGTGTCTTATGTACAATGTGACCCGATTTAGTCAGCGATATACATGACAACTTTAAGTTATATCTATATTCGTGTAGGCATCACGACATTGGTGGGTGGTGGAACAGGACCAGCACATGGAACTTGTGCCACAACTTGTACTCCCGCACCATCTCAAATGAAATTAATGTTGCAGTCCACTGATCAATTGCCAATTAACATGGGATTCACAGGCAAGGTATAAATTATTATGCTGTGAAATTAAACTATTAGAAAATACAGTATTTGATACATAAATATACAATATTAAATTAGCTGCTGTTTCATACCAAGCTTGTTTCAAGGTGGGCCTTGAGTAAATAGTCTCAATGATATAGTACAGTAAAAAGTGTACATGCGAAAATGCTAATGTGTGATGTTGTAAAGCTTCATAGTTGGCGTTTCCTACAAATTATTTTTATGTTAAATAGGAGAACAGTTGATGATTGTCTTCGAGGCATCTTGATATTAATAAGGAAAACCAAATACGAGTATACGACCCAACAATGACTTGAGGTCTTGAGGATATCTGGCTACCAATAAGTTCCTATATTGTTTCTCTTGTTGTAAAAAAAAAAATCATTTGAAAAACAAGAATTTACTCACTCCATTCATAACTACAAGTGATGGTTTTGGAATGTCTGGAGTCAACCATTCCAAATTCTGATTGGAAATTACTTTTTAGGCACTGAGTTCGGATGTTTGAAAATGATACAAATGCATGTGGATCCTAAAGTTGTTTTATAATAATATAATTTGCTATGTTTGAAGAATATGTTCTCAAAAAATTAGTGGCCACAGTTATGTTTTGGGAAATGTGTCAATGCTCAAAATGTCACCTATTTTTGACTGGAGGGAGTAGCTTGTTGACTAATACTTTGAAACATTTAAGGAAAGTGAATTTTCTATTGTTGTTCCAAATATGATTGTCCATGTTCTCCTTTGTAAACTGAGCAGGGGAATACTTCAAAGCCTGAAGGATTGGCTGAAATCATTAAAGCTGGAGCAATGGGTTTGAAGCTGCATGAAGATTGGGGAACTACCCCATCTGCGATAGATAATTGTTTATCTGTTGCAGAAGATTTTGATATTCAGGTAGATGCCTAATGTTATGTAGTCTTTCTGGTATACCGCAGTTTATCTGTTTCAATGCTGACCTGATTTTGACAGGTCAATATCCACACAGATACCTTAAATGAATCAGGCTGCGTGGAACATACAATAGCAGCTTTTAAAGATAGAGCCATACATACATATCACAGGTATGAAATGAACAGTAGTAAAATGAATTCGTTCTATTTTCCATTTATATAGGTTGATTTGCATCTGAAACTCTCCTTGTGCTTTGTCATAGAATATACCCTCAGCTTTTCAAAAGAAAATGTGGTAACTTAAAAAAAAAACAAATTCTGTTGAAATTGTGACTACATGGCCGAGTACATGATCTGTCATATGCAGCTTACCTACCAAAGGAGGGAAAAGAGGATCAGCTGTAGGAAAGGCGTCTAAGGCTCCCTTCATATCTTAGTTTGTTGAAAACTGTCAAAGATACGTGTCCTTGGTTAGACATGATTCTGAAGACTGTTAGACTAGAGACAGTTCTACTGCCATTATATATGGAGAACAAATGGCACCAATTTCATTGATCATGCGGTAGATCTATCATCTATCTATCTTCACAATCTCCTCTTCTCTGCAACCCAGCCTTACCGATGCTGTAGCCAACCACTACACCAGAGCTCCAGAACCACAAATCTGCACTATTTAGATAGACCTCCTATTTCTGAGAACATAAATTTTCTGTCAATAATGTTGTCTACTTTGTGGTGTCAATATTTACCTGTGGTGTTAATGCATTATACCTGTCAATTTTCTCATCATGTTCTTACTGTCTTGTGGACACTGGACAGTGAAGGTGCAGGTGGCGGTCATGCTCCAGACATCATCAAAGTTTGTGGGGTAAAAAATGTGTTGCCCTCTTCAACAAATCCTACCCGGCCATTTACTTCAAACACTGTAGATGAGCACCTTGATATGCTAGTATGCAATTATCCAATCCAGTACTGTAGATACCGTGTACAATTTTGGTGGTGATATGTTGTGGTTATAGTGCAGATGGTTTGCCACCACCTTGATAAAAACATCCCAGAAGATGTAGCATTTGCTGAGTCTAGAATTCGAGCTGAAACTATTGCTGCTGAGGACATATTGCATGACATGGGAGCCATAAGTATTATATCATCTGATTCACAGGCCATGGGGCGCATTGGAGAGGTCTGTCACATGATTATCCTAAAATTTCCTTTCTTGTTGTTAAGAAATTGCATAGCATTTTGGCACTGTTTGTGGAAAGCCTGGAGCTCCTTGCCTATCAGTGCTGACATATTTACCTTAGAAAGCATACTAGCTTTGTACATGCTTTGCCAGTGAAAATTCACTGAACACAGTCAATATGATGATTGCTATGTCAACTTACATTTCTCTTTTCTTTTGAGCTGATGTTGTAATGAGACTGCTTGTTTGGCAAGTGGCCTAGTACACAAAATAGGGAAATTACCTAGCAACTTTAGTTAACCAAAAGCAGAAAGGCCAATACTGAGAACAACTCAGGGAGATTTTTTTTTTTCATGAGCCTCTTCTTTCTCTGTCTTTGGGATGAACTCAAGATTCCCTAGCTGGAAGATGTTGAAGGAATCGATGTACATGTTAAATGGTAATTGTGTTGAGTTCAGAGTGCATGTTTGTTTTGAACACACAAAGGTAACTTATGACCATCTGAATGCATCTGCGCCATGGATGGTAGTACTATTGGTGGATATTAGTGTGTTGCTTAAGCTGTAGATAGCCTGGGCAGAACAACTTGATGTACCTGCTCTCATTCTAATGATTAGGGTGGTCATCATCACTGTCTAACATCTGGTTGTATCCTATTAGCAAGTTATTTCTACCTTTTCTATCCCTTGCTTCCAATAAACATGTTTGGGGCTTGTTCAGAGGCTTAGCCCTAACCTATAAGCTTAACAGTCTGACAAAATTATTAACCCAGCGACTTTTTCTTTCTCGAGGAAGCCATGATGAAACAATTAGAGTAACTTGTACCTCTAGGTTGAGGAATAAGCTCCTCTAGTGAGTAACTACTTTTTTGGTGATGAAATTACAGCTATATTGATTCAATTATGTTAGTTCATGTAACATTGGCTTTCTAGGTGATAACCCGGACATGGCAAACTGCAAACAAGATGAAGGTCCAAAGAGGTAGTTTACCTGGATCTGCTGGCTCTGCCCAGGACAATGACAACCTCCGTATAAGAAGATACATAGCAAAATACACCATAAATCCAGCAATAGTGAATGGTTTTTCAGACTTTGTTGGTTCTGTTGAGGTATGTGCTACTCTAGTTACTGAGAAAATTCTATTATTTGCTCCTTATCACTGAAGAACTAAACTTTGACGGTGCTGTCTTGTGCCATGTACCTTGAAATGATACTAGTAAAGATGAAAGATTTGTCTACTTTGGTATTCCTGATGTAAGTTAAAGAAACCAATGTGTAATTGTGTCTTATTTCCTTAGTGTACCAGATAGATTCATGCAGTGTAGAAAAATAATATTTTCCACTCAAAAAAAATATTTTGTTTAAATAAAATTTAGAAAATGTCTGTTGTATCAGTTTTGCAACTGTGTGAGTTGTCACTCTTAAAATACTTCTGCATCAGGAACAAGGCAAGAAACTGTTTATGTCTGAAAGTCATGTTCCACATAGATGCAACTTGCTGTACCATTAATTGACATACTTCTATCTAATTAGTAATATCCCTTCGGTATGTAATATGTAATGAAACCCAGTGAAATGCTGGCTAAGCATTTCCTCTATTGGTATCTCAATTCAAGGTCTAACTGAACCTACATATTTTTGACAGGTGGGAAAATTAGCTGACCTTGTTCTTTGGAAACCTTCTTTCTTTGGCGCTAAACCAGAACTGGTTGTCAAGGGAGGTGCAATTGCATGGGCTAATATGGGTGATCCCAATGCTAGTATTCCAACACCTGAACCTGTATGGACTACTTTCAACGAGATACTCTGAATATAAAGAATTTGTCTACTTTTACCATGATGTTTCGATTTAGCCTAAATATAAAGAGAAGTCTATTTCACTACCCCAAACAATTCACATTTCCATTTGACCCTTTTAATTAAAATTTCTACTTGTTTTACTGCTAAGAACTTTTTTAGCTCAATCAGTTCACCCCCAATGAAATGTGTATTGTTTCCTGTACAAATAGGGTTTCAAGTTCAAATTTTGCAGGATGATGCATGGCATCATAACCTTTCGGAAAAAAAAATCTTCTACAGTTTTCGTGCATTTTGGTATCTGAAGGGTTACAGTAGCACACAGATGCTCCCAACTGATGAAAATAATCACAAAAAAAATTGTAATATATTTTTTAAGCATAGAGTATCATGTCAACTAGCACCACACAAAATTTGAACCCAACACTTGGAGGAACAAGGCGATAAATTTCATTAAGGGTTAAATTGACAAATCTGAATAGTTTTGGGGAGTTAAATGAGTCTGTATTTTATTTAGGGAGGAAGGGGTTTAAGTGGACAAATTGAATAGTTGAGTGTAGTGAAATGGACCTTTTGTAAATGTTAAAATTTTGTCCATTATAACTAAGTTTAGTTTGGTAAGAGCCTGAGAAGCATGGTGTAGCACCCTATTTTAAAGTATTTGAACATGGTGTGTATATAACATGTTTGCTCAGGTTACAGCATCTATCTTTTTTCTCTTGATGCAGGTTGTGATGCGACCTATGTTTGGTGCATTTGGAAAGGCTGGAAGTTCCAATTCAATTGCATTTGTGAGCAAGGTAGTGTTTGGTTCTACCACAACCTAGAAAAGTGACTTTCTTAACTTTTCAAAATGATAAAATATAACATATTGCACATCAAGGTGTTAAAAAATAGGTTTTTTCATTAAGAAATATGACTACAGGAAACATACTGCGCATCAAGTAAAAGGAACAAAAAAGAAATGCTTCAAACTTGTTATTGACTGTTGCCAATTTTCAATGATTAGGCTGCTAAAGAAGCTGGTGTTGCAATGGAGTACAAATTAGAAAAGAGGGTGGAAGCTGTTGGTGGCGTTCGCCGTTTGACAAAGCTTGACATGAAGCTCAATGACGCCCTTCCGAAAATAGAAGTAGACCCTGAGACCTACACAGTGACTGCTGATGGAGAGGTTTTGACATGCCAACCAGCACCCACAGTACCACTGTCTCGGAATTACTTCCTATTCTAGAAAAAGCCACTGCACCATCAAACTTTATTTTTTTCTTGAGAGGCTACACGGAGAAGACGCACACCACCACTGCTCACGGCCTCACGCCCTACGCATGTACATCATATACGACGTGTCCCTATAGACATGCTTCAGCAAATATTGTTTGACGTCAAGAGATGAAACTAGTTACTTCCGCCGATCACGGATATAAGTTCATCTAGGTTTATCCTGAGTCAAACTTATTTAGTTTTGACATAAATTATATAAATTAGTAACACGAGATTCATATTTTGTGAAAACATTTCTCATTATGATTATAATAAAATCAATATTGTGTTGCCAATCTATGTAATTTTTTTTTTTTGACTTGGACAAACCTAGACACTTATACTTGTTATCAGTGGAAGTATGATTTATTTAAGGTCGACACATGTAAGTACATTCTGTATGCTACCCTCTCCTTGGCTGCAACTCTTTTAATAATATGGCCAATGAACAATTTTTTTTGGCAGTAGAAATTTTTTGCTCTGTGCTATTTGCAATAATCATTTTGTTAAATTATGTTCTATACATGCTCCCATATTTGTTCGGAAACAAACGTGCAACTCTCTTTCACGTGTGGTTTATCGATGTACTGCATTACTGCTAAATTTTGACTGAACAAACTTGACGGTATAAATTTCTGTTCAGATGCACGTATAGCATCGTCTTCACGTTCCCTCCTCCAAATGCGACTATGCTGTTGTATTTGCGATTTGGGATTACGTATCTTCTGCCATGTATAAGGCTGGCCTAAGCATATTAGTTCAGCTCATCGCTCGTGCATATATTATTCGCAGTCTCCATTGGATTTTTGCCTCGTAACGTAACCACAAAATTATCATGTTCTTAGTGAAGTGAGCAAGCTTGAGCTAGAGTAAATGATACTGAGTTGTGCGTCCTCTGTTTCTGGCAGTATGCCAAAACAGAACCAACTGAAAGCATTAAAAATAATCAGAAAAGCAGCACACGGAGTCTAGTCTGATCAGTTCATGTCATACTCGTCCAAACCCTTGAGATAGACTGCTCTTGAATGCAAGAGGAATTATCAATCTTCCTACAAAGAAGTTTATATTAAAAAATCCCACAAAAAAATATACAATAATCAATAATGTGCTAAAAATATGTGACCACTGATGTGAGGCTCCTTTCGAATCTGAAATATCATGACTCCCTTTCAGTCTTTCCATGTTGTCTTCGCTAAGTAATCAGTGTACCAATGTTCAGTACCTACAGCTAAAGGCCTGATCCTACTATAGAAATTTTAATGGATATATATATGTATGAATTGTTCATTCATGAGAAATTCATATACTCCACATTGTGTCCAAATGGTTTTCCCCATTGGTGCTTACCAAAAGCTTATTTGAGTCTTGGAGAGTATCCAAATCCCCGGGATCATGATGGCACAAAAAGATGTCATGCATACTTATTTTCTTTCCCAGTTCTACTTATATTTCCTCAGTTTTCATGTTCAAGCCACAAGATAATGAACCAAGCTAAAACTGGGCAGGAATAATATGGCACATATGGGAGTGTGGTATTTTTAAATTCAAGTGCTCATTTTCTTTAGCACAGTTTTTTTAATAACATGGGGGACACCATATGCATTCAACCATTCAAGGGTTTCATTAAAGCTAATGTTCAGGAGTACACGTACAGTAGGATAATACAGGGTCCCAAGCAAACTTCACAGTGATGATCAAGATAACAGACATAAGAGATGCAATCCCTTGCACAAAATGCAGAACCCCTGAAGTCCAACAAACTTAGATCATGACTAATGTTACTCATGCTAAAGAGTTGTCCCACATAAAAATAAGTTATTAACCACTACGGTCATCCCTTCTAACCTCGACCGACCAGGCCTCCTCACCTGGCGCTGGCGGTTTCTCTTGCGGTCGTCCGGGTTTCTGCCCTTTCCCCTACCCTTTACTCTATCTACTGGACGGGCGATTTCTTCTTTCCCTGCCGGTAAGGCCGTAAGGAAGGAAAAAGTGTTCATAGTGTCGGAGACGGCAACCAGGGGGGTGCGGCCTCACCCCGACCCGCACCCACCCTGAGGATCATGTCCCCGCCGCCGGCGCCCGCCGCCTCCACCTCCCACTTCCCCTCCCCTCCCAACCCCCGGAGCTTCAGTTAAGCCGCCCCAATCAAACAATAGCCTGACGCCGCCGCCGCCGGCGCCGGCGCCGGCCGCCTCCCCATCGCCGGTGGCCCCCGCCACCTCCTCCCCCTCCACATCCTCCTCCCCATCCACCTCCCCTCCAATCCCCAACCCCGGCACCGCCCCGTGCATCCGCCGATGCCAGGAGCCCGACCTGGCCGTGCCGCTGCCGACGTCGGGGGCGGCCGCCGCAGGCGTTGCCGAGCCCACCACCGCCAGATCCGGCATCGAAGTGCAGCTGCGGACTCCCTCTCCGTTGAGGCGAAAGTGTATGTCATCTTTAAGATGGTATACATGAAAATTAAATGAAGTATCTTAAAGATACTAAACATGGAGAACGAGTGGAGCTTCTCAAGCATATTAAATATGGAGAACAAATGGAGAAACGTCGAGGAGAAAATTGTATTAAATACATTTATAGGAAGAGTACTTATCTTTAGACAGAATGTCTGGTCGACGTCGACGAAATTGCCCGGCCCTCGAGCTTTTCGGCCTGTCGTCATGGCGGCGATCGTGGTTGTCACAGCGCTGTTCTTCGCGGCGATTATATCATTGCGACGCGGTAAGTGGTCAGAGCAAGTAGTCCGGTCGGCTCGCTTGGCGGCTCGGGTGGCTCGCTTGGTGGCTCGGGCGGCTCGCTCGGCGGCTTGCCTGGTGGCTCGCTGCAGTCGGATGGCTCGTGCTTAGCGGCTAAGACAGCTCACTTAGCGGCTCTCTTGGTGGCGCAATTCGCACTGGAGTCCGATCCCACGTTTAAAGCGGGTCAGGAGGATGTAGATCATCATAATCGTTTTTGGCTAGCTTGCTTGTGTCATCTCCACATCATGGTGATGTAGACTAAGCAAAATTTGCTTGCTTGCGTGTCCGACTGACGTACGTGGACGCCTCCTTATTTGCTCGTTGGTTGAGGATTCCGAAGTGGCCTTGCTTGCCGACTCGGAGTCGCGATCGTGCGCCGTCGGCAACTGCTCCAATCGTGCTAGGGCGTTGCTGCGAAGGCTGAGGGTGAAGGGCGCAGTTGATCGTCTCCTGCATTGTAGTCACGTCAGGGCTTGGTGATGGACCTTCATCTAGCACGCGTGGCGGCGGGGCCTTGTGCTGACGTCGTCAGGGAGGTTGCGGCGCCCTACAGCTCGGTCGTTAACCTTCTCCTGACGTTGCATCCGACGTGACACTAATCAAAGGTTGATCTCACCGAGAACGTCGAGTTGATCTCGAGGCAAGCCATCTGGTTCACCATAAAATCAGCATGCACACCTCTTACTTGGCGCGCCACTGTTGACGAAATACATCCAGCAGTTTACCGAGAGGTATACACACGGTAGTAGATGAATTGGTGGGGGTGCGCGTAAGGGAACCGAATGGTGACACAAAACGCAAGAGACAGCGAACTCTACATCCTGTGTCTTTGATGGATTGTGTTATGAGATGATCTATCTGGAGATCCCCCGACTAGAGGACCCATGTCCCTCCTTATATACTCTGGAGGGTAGGGTTAAAAAAAAAGTATTCTAGTCGGTTACATGGCAAGTATTCTATTTAGATTATAATATCTATAGTATCCGATCAGATCTTCTAGCTGTCTTACGGTGTACGCCGAACAGTGTCGTGCATCGTAAGTCTTAGTGTTGTGGGCTAGACCATTTCTGATAGTGCGGTCCATATCCCTTGCCGTGCAACCTAGAGTTATACCCCCACGTAGTCTGACCAAGAAAATTCTTCCCACAGTTGTGAGGAATATTCCGTTTGACTCACACTAGTACTCCAACCCGGATCGTTGAACTGACGGGTGGGTCCCACACCGTGGGTAACCCTGCGTGCTCACCTAAATTGCTCAGGACACGTCACCAGCAGCTTCTCCACGGCGTCCCCAGTAAAATGTACCCCGAAAACCCCCACCTCCGTTTCCTCCTCTTCCTCGCCGTCGCGGCCATCGCCGCCGGCGGGGCTGCTGCGGGCACCACCCTCACCGCGTCCCTCTCTGGCCACCAGATCAAGATCCGTTGGTCCGGCCTTCCGGCCCCGGACGGCCTCGACTACGTCGCCATCTACTCGCCGCCGTCCTCCCGCGACCGCGACTTCCTCGGCTACCTCTTCCTCAACGGCTCCGCCTCCTGGCGCGGCGGCTCCGGGGAGCTCTCCCTCCCGCGCCTCCCGACGCTCCGCGCGCCCTACCAGTTCCGCCTCTTCCGCTGGCCCGCCAACGAGTACTCCTACCACCACATCGACCACGACCGGAACCCGCTCCCCCACGGCAAGCACCGTGTCGCCGTCTCCGGCGAGGTCTCCGTCGGCGACCCCGCTCGCCCCGAGCAGGTGCACCTCGCGTTCGCGGATGGGATCGACGAGATGCGGGTCCTGTTCGTGTGCGGCGACCGCGGGAAGAGGGTCGTCAGGTACGGGCTGCAGAAGGAGGACGAGAAGGAGTGGAGGGAGGTGGGCACGGATGTGAGCACGTACGAGCAGAAGCACATGTGCGATTGGCCGGCGAACAGCAGCGTCGCCTGGAGGGATCCGGGATTCGTCTTCGACGGCCTCGTGAAGGGATTGGAGACCGGAAGGAGGTACTTTTACAAGGTACGGTGAATTGTCCCCTGCTGCAACTTGGAATGGTTCAAATTTTCTGATTTTAGGTAGCAAATTTGGCTCTGTACCATCTTTTATATATAAAAAAACAGTATTTTACTTATGCAAATTTTGTTCCAGAAAAGAAAAGGTACTAGGTCCTCTCAAGCCATACATGCTTAGCCTAAATGTTAGGGTTACCTGAGGTGCACAAGGGTTGAAATTTTGTGGTTTAGAGTGTGCTGGATTGATCATTGTGTTCCTAAGATTAAATTGTGTTGATTCAGAATTAGTGGCATAGTAAGATTTGTTGATTCAGCATTAGAGGCACAGTAAGATTTGTATTCATTAGTTATACAGTTCCTAGTGGAGATATCTGAAGTACTATAGCTATATGTTGGGAGGGTGCAGAAAAAAGATTGAATTTTGTATTCAGCATATGTGGCCATAAGGCTTTGATTCTCAAGTTCTGCAATCTTGGAAGTATGCATAGTGGGAGTTCATTAAAGGGAGGAATATCCTCACTTGCTGACAATTTGTCCATTGTCATGTAACTTGTTCTTAGGTTGTTGCTTCACATGAGTTGTATGTATCTACTGTCAGTTGCTGATGTAAATTGTGACTGGACGGATTTTGAAACTTTCAGAATGTACTTGTATTACTTAGTAGCAAATATGGTTAGAAATGTCAATGTGCTCAATAAAAGAAGTGTAGTTAGCACTGAATGCTAAGGAACTGATGGTTGTGTAGTGAATATGAATATTTCAAGCTTTCTACACTACTGAATATTGAAGTGTCCAGCATTGATTCGATGTACTGCAAAATAACAAATAGGATTCAGTGCAACCAACTGTATTGCTGTAGCTAGCACTACCACTTGAAGTAGGATCTATGAGCATTCCATTGAAGAACTGAAGTTAGTATATTCATCCCTGAAGCGTAGGTTTCTGAGAACTTACTAGATTGTTAGAAGGCGCCGTAAGCATTTAAGCACTACTTCTGTTTGAGTGAAGAGTTTGAACATCAGGCCTTTTATTGGGAAATCGTAATTCCTTAAAATTTAGTTTTTTTGTTCTGAATACTAGAACTAGGATCCAGTTTTGTGGGGAGTTGAACACCACTGTCCTTTTCCCGTGTGAGCATGCTTTTTATATATATTCTCCTCGTCTATTAAATTTAATCAACTTGACCATTTTGGCAGGTTGGTAGTGACACAGGAGGATGGAGTGAGATATACAGCTTTATTTCACGTGACAGTGAAGCCAATGAGACCAACGCGTTTCTGTTTGGTGACATGGGAACTTATGTGCCTGTTACGGCGTGCCTTACTACGGAGGAAGTAGGGAGGATCGACGGGTGTGTGAGGGCGCGTGGGCTTGCGGCGAGTCGGCGCCGTGATCGAGATCGATCTCGGCGACAACAGGGGGACGGGGAACAGGGAGAACTAGAGGAGCACCGCCAGGTGCCCAAGGGAGATATAATCTCAATCCTGGGCTGCCCCTTTCATTAACTTGGTTTGGGACTCTTATAGTCCTTACACATGACGACGATTACTTGCTAACAAATCCCTTGATTTCCTAACAAACTTAGCTAACCAAATCTCCTTGACTCAACTAGACTCCCTGAAACTCGGACTTGCCCAACCGGGCGTCGTGGTGACCGCGCACGGCGAACTCCCGCGCATGCGTTAGCCACTAGCTTTGTCCCTCCTCTTGTAGACGTTCCCCACCATAACATCTCTCCCGTCCTCCGGAAACAGCTCGTCCTCGAGCTGGAAGGTCGGGTACGCAGCGCGGAAGTCGTCCACCGATTCCCAAGTGGCATCAGCGGCAGGCAAGTTCGCCCACTGCACCAGGACTTGCCATGCACCGCGGCTGAGACGGGAACGCAGCACGCGTTCTGGTTGGAGCAGGGGTCGACCGTGGCGAAGCGGGGGCAGGACCGGCGGTGCGTCGGGTGGAGTGCCGCGGAACGCCTGGAGTAGACCGACATGGAACACGTCATGGATTCGTGCTCCGGCCGGCAGCTCCAGGCGATATGCCACCTCATTGATGCGCTCCAGCACCCGGAAAGGCCCGACAAACTTTGGCCCAAGCTTGCCCTTGCGACCGGGCGCGGCGGACTGGGTGTGGCGAAGGAGGCGAAGAAGCACCCAGTCGCCGACCGCAAACTCCAGGGCGCGATGCTTGGCGTCGTAGAAGCGCTGGGCGTGCTCCTGAGCCTGCAGAAGACGAGCGCGAACCTCGGCGATGAACTCGTCGCGGTCGGAGAAGAGGACGTCCACAGTGTCCGTGCGGGCACTGCCGGGCGCGTACAGCAGGAGCTCCGGGGGCGCGCGGCCGTAGACGACGGTGAACGGCGACGTGCGGAGCACTGAGTGGTAGGCGGTGTTGTAGCAGTACTCCGCCCACGGAAGCCAATCCAGCCAGTCTCGTGGCCTGTCGCCGGTGAGGCAGCGCAGATACATGGTGATCGTCTTGTTGATCGCTTCCGATTGCCCATCCGTCTGAGGGTGGAAGGCCGTGCTCATGCGAAGCTTGACGCCGGCCTGCTGGAACAAGTCGCGCCACACGTTCCCGGTGAAGACGGGGTCTCTGTCGCTGACAATGGAGTCGGGGAAGCCGTGAAGTCGAACAATGTCGTGGAAGAAGGCGCGCGCGACGGAGGATGCCGTGTACGGATGACCCAAGGGAATGAAGTGCGCGTACTTCGAAAACCGATCCACAACGGTGAGGATGACGCTCTTGCCGTGGACTTTAGGCAGTGCCTCGACGAAGTCCATGGCTATGTCTGCCCACACGCGAGAGGGCACCGGCAGCGGCTGCAGGAGTCCCGCCGGATGCAAGGCCTCGGTCTTGTTCTTCTGGCACGTGGCGCAGGACTGGATGAAGTCGTGGACGAGGCGACGATCGTGCTCAACAAAGAACTCCATCCGAAGCCGCTGCAGCGTCTTTTGGATCCCTTCGTGCGCCTCAGTATGTGCGAGCTGGAGCACGACCTCCAGCAGTGGGGAGGTGTCGGGGACGAAGACCTTCCCCTTGTAGAGAAGGAGCCCATCATGGAGGACCCTGTCTACGCCGCGTGCCCCGGCCTCCGCGTCGCGCAGAAGCGTCTCGAGCTCGGGCAAGGCGCCGCCTTCGCTCACGCAAGTCCTCGAAGAGCCGGAATGGGGATGGACACCGCGTTAACGGCGGTTCGGCGCGCGAGGAGCGCGCCGCAAGGGTGTCTCCCCGTCGCGCCTGGAGAGAGCGTCCGCGACGACGTTGAAGCGGCCCGGCCTGTACTCCACAGAAAAATCATAGCCGATCAACTTACTGATCCAGTGGTGTTGGGGGATTGTCGAGAGCCGTTGATCCGGCGAGGAACTTGAGCGCGTAGTGATCCGTCCGGACGACGTAAAGCGCGCGGCCCCAGGTAGGGGACGCCCGATGCCGCACCGCTGCGTAAGCCGATCAACTCCCGCTCATAGGCGCGACTTTTCGGTGGCGCGCGCGCGAAAGCGCGCTGTTGAAGAACGCGGCAGGCTATCGCCTTGATGTAAAAGCCCGGCCCGACCACGACGCGTCGCAATCAACGAAGAAGAAAGCGCGGTCGAAGTTAGGCGAGTGCGACGGCGAGGCGCCTCGGAGAGCGCCTTCTTCAGGGCGGCGAACGCCGTGTCCGCCACTGTCGACCATTGGAACGCGTCCTTCCTCAGCAGGCTAGTGAGAGGCGCCACTATGGAGCCGTACTCGCGGATGAAGCGTCGATAATAACCGGCGAGTCCGAGAAACCCGCGCAGTCGCCGGGCAGAACGCGGTTGCGTCCATGACTGCACCGCTGCCACCTTAGTGGCGTCCATGGCGACCCCCTCTTGTGATATGACGTGGCCGAGGTACTGGACGGTCGATGATGCAAAGGTACACTTGGACCTCTTCAAGTGCAGCCCGTGTGCGCGAAGAACGTCGAGGACGGCGCGGAGCTGCAGCAAGTGTTCGGTCCAGGTCGAACTGTAGATAAGTATGTCGTCGAAGAAGACGAGGACGCAGCGACGAAGGAACGGCTTGAGCACCAGATTCATGAGAGCCTGAAATGTCGACGGCGCGTTAGACAAGCCGAATGGCATGACCAAAAATTCAAAATGGCCGTGGTGCGTGCGGAACGCCGTCTTGGCCACGTCGTCGGCGTGCACGCGGACTTGGTGATAGCCCGATCTAAGATCTAGCTTGGAGAAAAATTTGGCGCCATGGAGCTCGTCCAGTAGCTCCTCAACGACGGGAATCGGGAACTTGTCTTTCACCGTGGCCGAGTTGAGCGCCCGATAATCAACACAGAAGCGCCATGATCCGTCGTGCTTCTTGACGAGGAGGACGAGCGCCGAGAAGGGCGATGTGCTGGCGCGAATCGTGCCCTGGCGCAGCATCTCGCATTGACGCTCCAATTCATCCTTCTGGAGCTGCGGGTAGCGGTACGGTCGGACGGCGACCGGGTCCGTGCCCACCTTGAGGTGGATCCGGTGATCGCATGGCCGGGCCGGTGGTAGCCTGGTTGGCGGTGCGAAGACGTCGTCGAAGGACGCCAGGAGCCGCTCCAGCAGTCGGCCTCTGACTCCTTGGCGGCCACGAGCGAGTGGAGGTGGCGTGGCAGTGAGGGTACCGCGCTGGGCGCGCCCACCCCCGTCCATAGCACGCGGCGTCCACGGCGGTGGAAAGCCATGCGGCGGCCCTCGAAGTCCCACAGGATGGGGCCCAGCGTGCTGAGCCAGGAGATGCCCAGCACCATGTCGTACGCGTCGAGAGGGATGGAGTAGCAGTCGATGTAGAACTCCTCCCCCTCGACCTGGATGGGCAGGCGACGTGCCAGGCCACGGCAGGCGACGCGGTCACCATTGGCGACCACGACGTGGGCGCCCTTGCTGTCCCCGAACGCGAGGCCGGTTCGGCTTGCAGCAGCCCCACTGATGAAGTTGTGGGTGGAGCCCGAGTCCAGCAACGCGACGAGGTCCTGTCTGCCGCAGTGGACGCGTAACTGCATGGTGGCTGGCGTGCAGATTCCCATGATCGCTGACAACGAAATCATGGGCTTCTCGGGGTCGAACGGCTCTGTTGCGTCAGCTGGGGCGGGGCTGTCGCCCTCGTCGTCATCGTCGGGCTCCTCGACGATGTAGTCCTGCGCTTCCAAATAGAATAACCGGGCACATTTGTGGCCCCGGACATATGGTTCATCACAATTATAGCAAAGGCCCAACTTACGGCGCTCGGCCATCTCCTCTAGCGAGAGTCGCTTCAAGGTGTTAACGGCAGTCGTCGGCTTGGTGGGTGCGCCGCCGTAGCCCTCTGGCGCCGGGAGAGCTGGAACGCCTCCCGTGCGGCGTGCCGGTCGTGACGGGGGAAGCGCGGGTCGCAGATGGATGTTGCACCGCTCATAGGCATGGGCCAGGCGCATGGCGTGCTGTAGATCCCTCGGCTCCATGAGCTCCACGTCGACGCGGATGTATGTCGGCAGCCCACCGGTGAACAGCTTAGCCTTCTGGAGCGTGGTGAGTTCGCCGGCGTGCGCCGCACGGGCTTGGAACGCCTCCATGTAGGAGTCCACGGAGGAGCCGAACGGCAGCCGCGCCAATTCGGCGAGGTGGTTCGTTCCAATGGCGGGGCAAGCGGCCGCCGCCGCACGAAGCGACGGAAGTCTCGCCAGGCGGCCGGCCGATGTCTTGCTCGGGACGAGGTACCATTCTTTGGGCAACCCTTTAAGGTGGTAGGGCCGCCACCAAACCTTGTCAACCTCGCGGGTGAGTGACCGCGGAAGAATTGCTCACACTTGTTGAGCCATCCCAGTGGATCCTCCCGGCCGTCGAGGTCTCGAGCGAGATCTTGTGGTACTTTGGGAACGCGGCGGCCTCCCATGCCGGAGACTGCGGGGGGTATGGCTGGGACGATGCCATGTGGGCCGAGGCCGCGGCAAGGTGAGGTCGCCCAACCGATCCGTAGTTGTGGTTGGGGATTTGCAACGGGGATCGAGGGAATTGGATCTGATGCAGCGGAACTCCCGTGGACGGCGGCGCCGGCGCCGGTTGCGACTCGGTGAGCCCTGTAGATGTCAGTGGCAGGGAGGGGAACACCGACGCAGAGGAGTCGCCCGCGCTTGGAGTGACGTCCGTGATCACCGGCATCGAGGTGACGGGGAGCTTTGGAACGCCGGCGAAACCCGGCATGCCAAACTGGGGAAACGCCGGGCGGCCATCGAGGGCCGTCAGTTGATGATTGATGGCGGTCATCTGCAGCTGCATATTGTTGAAGGCGGTGGTGAGCGAGGCGAGCGAATCGGCGATGGAGGCGAGGGTGGGCGGTGGAGCGGGTGGTGTAGTGTGGACGAGCGGCAGCGACACACCGGACGTAGGCACCACGGAGGAGGGCACCCCGGTGGATGGCGTCACCGTCGCCGATGCATCCCCAGACGTCGCCATGAAGTCTGATACCAGGTTGTTACGGCATGCCTTACTGCGGAGGAAGTAGGGAGGATCGACGGGTGTGTGAGGGCGCGTGGGCTTGCGGCGAGTCGGCGCCGTGATCGAGATCGATCTCGGCGACAACAGGGAGACGGGGAACAGGGAGAACGAGAGGAGCACCGCCAGGTGCCCAAGGGAGATATAATCTCAATCCTGAGCTGCCCCTTTCATTAACTTGGTTTGGGACTCTTATAGTCCTTACACATGACGACGATTACTTGCTAACAAATCCCTTGATTTCCTAACAAACTTAGCTAACCAAATCTCCTTGACTCAACTAGACTCCCTGAAACTCGGACTTGCCCAACCGGGCGTCGTGGTGACCGCGCACGGCGAACTCCCGCGCATGCGTCAGCCACTAGCTTTGTCCCTCCTCTTGTAGACGTTCCCCACCATAACAGTGCCTTATAACACCTACATTCGCACACAAGCTGAGAGCTTGTCCACTGTAAAATGGATCCTCCATGATATTGAAGCCCTTGGGGATAAACCTGCCTTCATTTCACACATTGGGGACATCAGCTATGCTAGAGGTTATTCTTGGGTATGGGATCATTTCTTCAGCCAGATTGAGCCTATTGCTGCCAATACCCCATACCATGTCTGTATAGGAAATCATGAGTACGATTGGCCATCACAACCTTGGAAACCATGGTGGGCTACATATGGAAAGGACGGTGGGGGTGAATGTGGGATAACGTATAGCGTCAAGTTCAGAATGCCTGGCAATTCTATCCTGCCTACTGGTAATGGTGGCCCAGACACCAGGAATCTTTATTACTCCTTTGATTCAGGTGTGGTGCATTTCGTCTACATGTCAACCGAAACAAATTTTGTTCAGGGCAGTGATCAGTACAACTTCTTGAAAGCGGACCTTGAGAAGGTGAACCGAAACAGAACACCATTTGTTGTTTTTCAGGGCCACCGCCCCATGTACACCTCAAGTGATGAAACCAGGGACACAGCCTTGAAACAGAAGATGCTCCAGCACTTGGAACCGCTGCTGGTGACATACAATGTGACCCTTGCACTATGGGGACATGTCCACAGGTATGAGAGGTTCTGCCCGATGAAGAACATCCAATGTGTCAACACTTCATCAAGCTTCCAATACTCTGGTGCTCCTGTGCATCTTGTGATTGGGATGGGCGGGCAAGACTGGCAACCCATATGGCAACCGAGGCCTGATCACCCAGACGTCCCCATCTTTCCACAGCCTGAGAGGTCCATGTACCGTGGCGGTGAGTTTGGATACACAAGGCTTGTAGCAACAAGGGAGAAGGTAACATTAACCTATGTGGGGAACCATGATGGACAAGTCCATGATATGGTGGAGATATTTTCTGGCCTGGTATCTAGTAACAGTAGTGTTGCTGAGCCGGTGGATGGTACCAAACATGGTACAGGAGACAGCACCGTGCGGAAAATTTCTCCGTTGTACTTGGAAATCGGAGGCAGTGTATTGTTTGCACTGCTCCTGGGATTTTCCTTTGGATTTCTTATCAGGAGAAAGAAAGAAGCTGCACAGTGGACTCCAGTAAAGAATGAGGAATCATAAGAGTTGCCAATACCGTGAGCCTGGTGCAGTGGTGGTAAATCCAAACTTGGACCTAATTGCTGGAATAGACCCTAAACAAAGTGAAGTCATTTCTTCTTGGGGGCTCTGTGGTACACGAGTGTATAGTTGTGTAAGATTGTGCCTTTGTATATGATAGTCTTGGGAAATGAAGTTTTTGATCGGATATCTGTTGTAATAGTCCAATGTATAAGCATGTAATAAGTGATATAATGTTCACATTGCTTTGGTTGACGCAAGTGTTTAACCTGTACCATAATTTGGCATGGTTTGTTGAATCATTAAAGTGATTGTGGACGTCCTTTGTAGTTGAACCGTATTTATTTTGTGATCCTGGCTTTCTGTGTCATCTGCCTGCTTTTGTTAGCAGATGCGCAGAATCTTCTGAGCTTCGAGTTCATACTTAACAATATACCTGTATCGACAATATCATATTACATGTTGGCAGTGGTTAACGAAATATCTAAATGAGCATATTTAGAAGTCAAGCATCCCTGCATCAGCACACCTATTGAGTATTGACGACCTTACAAATAAAGTTGGAGCAGAGACGCCATCGGGGACACCGGCGGCAGTGTGTCTGCAGGTCCACCGGCGGCGAGGCGAGATGGTGTCATCCAAGAAGGTGTGCGTGATCGGCGCCGGCATCTCGGGGCTAGCGTCTGCCCGCGAGCTGCTCCGGGAGGGCCACGACGTGACGGTCATGGAGCAGAGCAGCGGCGTCGGCGGGCAGTGGCTGTACGACCCGAGGACGGCCGGCGCGCACAGCAGCATGTACGCCTCCGTCCGGCTCATCAGCCCGAGGGAGCTGACGTGCTTCTCCGACTTCCCCTTCTTCCCCAGCAACGACGGCACCGGCGACGCCCGGCGGTACCCGGGGCACGCGGAGTTCCTCAGGTACATCAGGGACTTCTGCGACGCATTCGGGCTCATGGACGTCGTCAGGCTCAACACCAAGGTCCTGCACGTCGGCCTGTCGCCGCCGCTCGCCGCTGACGATGGCGTGAAGCGGTGGACGGTGAGGTGGTCGAGACGTGGTGACTGCGAGGGCGACGCGGTCACCACGGAGGAGGTGTTCGACGCCATCGTCGTCGCCGTCGGCCAATACACCCAGCCACGGCTCCCAACCATCAGCGGTAGGTTGGTTCTGATCGATTGCGTCGTTATCGCCGTTGTCGTCAGTGATTGCGTACACTGATGGTGATGGATAGATTTAAGAATTTTGTCCCTGTCGAAATTAAGTTGTGTTCATGCCCTGTTGGTCAACTGATGGAGCTTCTAGTATAGGCATGGACAAGTGGAGCAGGAGGCAGCTGCACTCCCACACGTACCGGGTCCCCGACTCCTTCGACGGCGAGGTGGTGGTGATCGTGGGCTTCCATGAGAGCGGCAAGGACATCGCGCAGGAGCTCTCCGGGGTGGCGAGGGAGGTGCACGTCAGCGTCAAGTCCATGGAGGGCCTCACTCCCGCCGTCTCCAAGGCTGTCGCCAGGCACCACAACCTGCACCTGCACCTCCAGATCGAGTGCTTGTGTGAGGATGGGCAGGTGACGTTCGCCGACGGCTCGCGTGTCGTCGCCGACTCCATCATCTACTGCACTGGGTACGACTTCTGGTTCCCGTTCCTGGACACGGGTGGCCTGCTCACCGTCGACGACAACCGCGTCGGCCCGCTGTTCGAACACACGTTCCCGCCGGCGCTGGCGCCGTCGCTGTCCTTCGTGGGCGTTCCCAGGCTGGTACTGGTGCCGCGGTTCTACGAGGCGCAGGCGAGGTGGGTGGCGCAGGTGCTGTCTGGCCGGAGGCCGCTGCCGCCGGAGGAGGAGATGCTGCGCTCCACGGAGGAGTACCACCGCGCCAGGGAGGCGGCCGGCGTGCCCAGGCGCCTCTCGCACACCGTCTTCTTCGACATGGACTACTGCGACGAGTTTGGGGCCAAGCACTGCGGCTTCCCGCCGTTGGAGGGGTGGAAGAGGGACTTCCTGTCGTCGGCTGTCGCACGCGTCAGGGACGGCGACGTGGAGAGCTACCGTGACAGCGACCTTGTCCTGGAGGGCTTGCGCTCCGAGGGCTGGTGACTGCTAGGACGCCATAAGACAAGGAGGTCGGCCAAGATGATGAAGACGACGGCTTACCTTACCAGATCCACGACTAACGCCACGCAGACCAACTACTCTGGCTAGCCCTGTTTAGATTGGGTCAGGAATCAGTATTTGACACTGTAGCATTTTCGTTTGTATTTGATAATTATTGTCCAATCATGGCATAACTAGGCTTAAAAAATTCGTCTCGTAATTTACAATCAAACTGTGTAATTAGTTATTTTTTTTATCTACATTTAATACTCCATACATGTGTCTAAAGATTTAATGTGATGAAGAGATAATGAAAAAACTTACCATCTAAACGAGGCCGTAGTCGTAATCGTAATATTTTGGGAAACAAGTACTCCGTACAAATCATAGTGGTGATATTTTTTGGGAAACAAGTACAAATCATGATGATTGAAGTGGTGGCGTAAAACCGCGAATTGTAAAATCTTCCTTGCCCAACTCAACCAAGTTTGAAGTGGTGGCATAAAACCGCGAATTGTTTGGATACAAAGACTAATTACTAGCTAATTGAAGATATCTATTAGGATTATAGTTTTTACGGCTGATAAGTCAGCTGATGCTGTTTTGTTGTGAGAGAAAAATATTATACCATGGCTAATAAACCGAACGGATAAGTTCAAGCGAACATGACTTAAAATTAGTTTGCATCCAAATAAGAGGGCTAATAGGCGTGCTAATTTTTTAGCAAATCCTCAATTAGTTGTTAGCCAATTAACTAACGATAATGCTCTAATTAAGCCGATCTTCCGAAAGGTATGATAGCGTCGATTGGTGGAGACTTGATGTTCATGATCTAGGTTTCAAACCAAGACTAATTTGTACCCCCGCAACCGTTACACCATTGCTCCGTTGGTTATCAACCACGCGAACGCGATTGACCTCGCCGAGAAGACTTTCCTGCAAGCGAATCGAGAATACAAGCAAGAACGGGATGAACGCAATCTGAAATTACAAATAAATATGAGGCTTATGAAAAACAAGAAAGAGTTCAAGTCTTTATTCGAAAGGACTAATCGCCACAAACGAATAAGATCAAGAACTGGGGTCCTGGCTCACAGCAAGCAGTCTTGGCGGCACAGTTGCAGCAAAATGATGTCTGTTTCACGAGAAAATCAAGAATTAAACAAAACCCAAACCCTAAGGAGAGCGATGACTGCAAATTATAGTCTTAGGCGTCACCCCCCTGGACGCGCCCCCTAATGGGCCCAAACACGATACACGGTCCAACGGACCAAAAGACGGTGTCGCAATACCCTGGCAGATTCTGGACGCTGACTTGTTTCGACGATTCCTGTTGATTCCAAAGGGATTTTGACGTGAGACCACTTGTATTGATTTACTTATCTAATTAGCTTTCCATCTATACGTAGATCGTCAAAAACGGAGCCCGTAAACGCCCGTATGACTAGTTTTACAACAGACTGGTCTTGAAACCCGAGATGGACTCGAACTTGATTTGGACCTTCTCACCTTGATAATTCGAACCGAATGAGTTTCGGACCTCCTTCTCGATTGGACAACCTCCGTATGTATAGAGCTCATGTCCTTGTCAGGAACCACGGGCCCGGCGCCACGGCTGCCGGCTGGTGTGGTGACGCAGCGAGCATGGAGTAGCGCTGTTGCCGACAGGAAGATGATTGACATATACATATATAAGCTCGGGCGCTCGGCCACCCGCTGGAGCAGAGGAGCAGCCGCAACATGTACACGTGCACGAAACACGCCGCAAGGCCATGGCCGAGACCCCGATGATGAACCGACCGACGCAGCACGGAGGAGAGAAGGTGGTGTCATTGTTGCAGACGAAGATCCATCACACAATTGATAGGATGCCATGTTTCCATCTGCTCAACGATATAAATAACTATCAGGTTCCTTGGCAGTTCATGATGATCTGCGTCAATTGCCGTGAGTTAAAATTTACTTGGCGGGAGTTTTTCGTTGTCTCTTTATTTCTTGAAGACCTTTAGTAGTACGTACCAAGGACTTGATAAGCCCTATGGAATGACGCGGCTTCATGAAATTGCACAAAAATATAATAGTGGGGTTCTCCTATTGAGGAGGTATATAGTAGATATGGCCAATGAGCAATTTTTTTTGGCAGTAGAAAATTTTTGCTCTGTGCTATTTGCAGTAATCATTTTGTTAAATTATGTTCTATACATGCTCACGTATTTGTGCGGAAACAAACGTGCAACTCTCTTTCACGTGTGGTTTATCGATATACTGCATTACTGCTAAATTTCGACTGAACAAACTTGACGGTATAAATTTCTGTTCTAGATGCACGTATAGCATCGTCTTCACGTTCCCTGCTCCAAATGCTGCTGTATTTGCGATTTGGGATTACGTATCTTCTTCTGCCATGTATAAGGCCGGCCTAAACATATTAGTTCAGCTCATCGCTCGTGCATATATTTATTCGCAGTCTCCATTGGATTTTTGCCTCGTAACGTAACCAAAAAATTATCATGTTCTTAGTGAAGTGAACAAGCTTGAGCTACAGTAAAGGATACTGAGTTGTGCGTCCTCTGTTTCTGGCAGTACTCTACGTGCCAAAACAGAACCAACTGAAAAGCATTAAAAATAATCAGAAAAGCAGCACACGGAGTCTAGTCTGATCAGTTCATGTCAAACTCGTCCAAACCCTTGAGATAGACTGCTCTTGAATACAAGAGGAATTATCAATCTTCCTACAAAGAAGTTTATATTAAAAAATCCCACAAAAAAATATACAATAATCAATAATGTGCTAAAAATATGTGACCACTGAGTGTAGTGGTGAGAGCTGTCTCACTGAGTCACCAGGTCGTGGGTTCGAAGCAGCCTCTTCGTAGATTTTGCAGGGGAAATGTTTGTCTCAGTTTA